GGATAATGCTACAACAAGAACATCAGGAGGGAGTCCTCACTGTGTGTGTCTGTTATACAGATTTCATCACTTGTTGCATAACATCAGTACACCTGTTGATTTGCCAACAAGTGTATTTTGAACACATGTACATGTACATTGCACAATCCAAGAAATTTGCAAGAGCTGTAAATTTATTTAGTGAAATTTTCACTTTCTTAAAGTCCAATTGGTTCTTGCAGATTTCATTTTTGCAAAGTATCCGTGAAACTTAGACCCTTTGCATTGACTGTACAGGTACATAATAAATGGATCAGTACATGTACATTAATTAATATATAAAATATAAGTGAATTGTATTAATACAAGTGAATTGTATTAATACAGTATCATATCAGACTGCTCATTCATTACTAAACAAGTACCTTCAAGTTAACAGTTGACATGTTCATGAACTGTGAGGTGGTGATGATACTGCTTGTAGCGGCACTGTCACTTATACTGGGGCACCTTATCTCCGCTATCATATCAAGGAGTCTTTCTATCCTGTAGCTCTCCTGGGGCCATACTTGAACCTGCTCCTTGAGTATGCATGAAACAAGACTAGTCGGATAGGAAGGATTTATTATCAACTGGTGGATGAGATCATCAAGCAACCGCCTTGAGGAAGAGAGAGAGAGGGAGAGAGAGAGAGGGAGGGAGAGAGAGAGGGTACATTACATGTGATTATTTATTTCTACCTTCCCATTTCATCGGTAAAGTCCAGGCAAGATATCATTCCACACAACTGACGTCCAACGAATTCAACTGATAACTCGTTGTCTAGCGTCGAGTCGGAGACACTTGAGGCCTTGAATATCTTATCATCAATGTAGCTAGAGAGAGAAGAGAAGACAGAGGATCAAGAGAAGCAGAAGCTAAAGTATAATTATACCTTTTAAAATAATGACAGAAGTTAGAAAGAGTGGGGGTGACTCGGTCAAAGAACCCAAGCCCCTCCCCCTCCGGCTTTGACCTGAAGTACTTGGAGAGACAGCGCCAATAGAAAACCATCTCACAGGTGAGATCATCAAACGGTATCAAACAATCCTTCACCTGAACCACAAGTAAAGGTACATATTATTTAATATTATATTATTATTCAATGTTTAATGTTACAGCATAAAAACAATAATTAGGACTTACATAAGTGTATGTGTACACATCATGTACATTCAATTATACCACCAGTTAGTGTTGATTATAACCACAGAATAAGGAAAGGCTGTAAGATGTGTGTACATGTACATCTGATTGGGTATGATCTGCATTGCTTCATGTACTGGTAATTCCAATTACAAGAAGGGACTCTGAGAGTTAATCCCTTTAGCTCCATATAATATAATGGGGAGCAGTATCTGCATGTTTCCCCATGAACAAGGAATGCCCATACTTCCTCAAACATTTATTAATGAGCTAACAACATCATTGCTTTGTTAATAAGGTATCTGTTTTCTTAAAATACACCATCAAACACACATACATGTACATACACTGTACAGATCATCATAGCTACTACTTGATACATATGACATCATAGTACATGTATAATTAGGTATAATGGCTCCAAATTCATTCCAAATTTTTATTACATTTTCTGATACATATGACAAATAATTTTCAAGTTACAGCCATTTTAAGAAAACGTCAAAATTCTGAAAAATACCCAAGGCTATAGCCCATGGTTTTTTTCCAAAAAATGGCTCCGAAATCACCCCAAATTTTTATTACATTTTCTGATACATATTGATGTCCTTATGCTGTGTAGCAAGTTTGAGCTGATTCCGACAAATAATTTTCAAGTTACGGCCATTTTAAGAAAATGCCAAAATTCTGAAAAATACCCAAGGCTATAGCCCATGGTTTTTTCTAAAAATGGCTCCGAAATCATCCCAAATTTTTATTACATTTTCTGATACATATTGATGTACTTATGCTGTGTAGCAAGTTTGAGCTGATTCCGACTTCAATTTTTCAAGTTACGACCATTTTAAGAAAATGCCAAAATTCTGAAAAATACCCAAGGCTATAGCCCATGGTTTTTTCTAAAAAATGGCTCCGAAATCATCCCAAATTTTTATTACATTTTCTGATACATATTGATGTCCTTATGCTGTGTAACAAGTTTGAGATGATTCCAACAAATATTTTTCAAGTTATGGCCATTTTAAGAAAATGCCAAAATTCTGAAAAATACCCAAGGCTATAGCCCATGGTTTTTTTTCCAAAAA